TAGGTCAGGAAAGTACTTTAAAAATGAAGTTAAAAATATATTTTTAGCAATCAAAATCAGAGATTTACTACAGATATGATAGAGAAATCTAAATGATGACTTCAGAGGCAAGTAAAGGGATCACAGATAGAAGGTTTATAATAGATGGAAGGAAAGGAAAATATGCTAGCATATAGTTGGATAAATTTAAAGAACATTTCAAATATAAAATGATAATGCATATTAAGATTTCAAAAAGCAAGAGAGAGTTAAAATTCATGGTCTGCTATCATGTTAAGATGAGAGTAAATAGAGCAAGGTGTCCTTAGATTCCCATTGTGTCCAGGAACCTGGTAAAGGTGTCAAAAGCATCTTTTATAAAAAAATAATTTTATTAGCATATAATAATTGTGAAAGAGGATGCATTATAATATTTACATATGTGCTTGCAATATAGCTTATTTGATATCTTCTACTAACCCTTTTTACTATGAAATAATAAGCATAGAAAAGGTCACAAAACATAAATATATAGTATAACAATAACTGTAAGCACTCCTGCAGTCACTATACACTTTACAATATATCTTAGCTAGATTTACCCCTCTATCATTCTCCCTCTTCCTACCTCCTTCCTTCTTAGAAAAATTTCAACAGGTTTCATTCTTCTATTTTCATATATGGATACAAAATACATCCATAATATATACTCTCATTCCCCCTTTCCTTGTGCCCATTCCCCTTCCATTGATACCTACCCCCAGAAAAAACCTGTATTTCCCCTCTGCTCTTCATTTCTTTTTATTGAGTGTATATTGATAGTCCAAGAGGGTTTCACCTTGGTACTTCAGGTCTGTATATATTGTGCTTTAATCAAATCAAGCCCCTCCCCCTGTTACTTACTCATTCTCTCTCACTATGCTCCCATAATAGTCAACAGCTTACTGTACAGAACATTATATTATATTCATATATGGATGGCTTATTTCAATATTTTTTATTCTCTATTCTCTAACATTTTCTTTCTCTCTCCCACCTCTTGTAGTCCCCTGAGATGAACTCGGTAATACAATTTTGTTCTCTCTCTTATATACATAATCATATATGTTTCTCTATATTCATTTAACTTGTAGGTCTAGCTTTCACAAATGAGGAAAAACATGTAACTTTTGATTTTTTTGAGCCTGGCTTACTTTGCTTAAAATGAAGTTCTCCAGTTCCATCCAAACAACATAATTTTGTTCTTCTTGATGTCTGAATAAAACTCCATTGTTCATATATACACATTTTCTTAATCCATTCATCAGTCGTGGGCATCTGGGCTGCTTCCTAAACCTTGGCTATTGTAAATAGTGCTGCAATAAGCAAGAATGTGCAAATGACTCTGTTATATCCTGGAGTACATTCCTTCAGATATATGCTTAGGAGTAGTATCACTGGATGTGATGGTAGTTCTATTTCTAGTTTCTCAAGTTACCTCCATATTGCTTTCCATAGCGGTTGCACTAATTTACATTCCCACCAACAGTGTAGCAGTGTTCCTTCCCCTCCCACACACATCCTTGCCAGCATTTGTTGTTGCTTGTATTATTAATGTTAGCTATTTTGACTGGGGTGAGATGGAATCTCAATGTAGTTTTGATTTACATTTCCTTTACGGCCAAGGGTTTTGAGCATTTCTTCGTGTCTTTATTCATCATTTGTATTTTCTTTTGAAAATTGTCTGTTCAGCTGACTTGCTCATTTATTCAGTGGGTTTTTGATTCTTTGAGTGGATAGTTTTTTGAGTTTCCTGTGTACTCTGGTTATTAATCCCTTGTCATTAATCCCTTGTCAGATGAGTAGCTGGCAATGATTTTCTCCCATTTTGTAGGCTGTCTTTTTAGTCTAGTGACTGTTTCCTTTGCTGTGCAGAAGTTGTTAAGTCCCATTTGTCAATACTTTCTCCTAATTGCTGAGCTATTGGAGTTCCATTCATAAAGTTGTTACTTATTCCTGTGTGTTCCCTACTTTTTGCTGGACTAATTTCACTGTTTCAGATCTTACATTAAGATCTTTAATCCATTTTGAATTGATGCTGGTACAAGGTGAGAGTCTGGGATCTAGTGTCAATCTTCTGCAAGTGGAAATCCAGTTTCCCCAGCACCATTTTCAATAGCATGTTTGGATAACTTACATATTTGTGTGTGATCTTTAGTCCAATCAAAATAACAGAAACAAAGTAGGTAAATTCCCAACTAGAAGCAAGGAAAAAGTTGGGATAATGATGTCATCCATCAATCTAAAAGTGGCCATTAAAAATCAAAACCAGAAAAAAGTATAAAATAAGAAGGTACATTTTTAACCAAATATATCAGCTATTTCAGTAAGTGTAAATTAATAACCTGCTAAGTGCTCTGGATGAAATAAAAAGATTGTCAGACCCTCTTGAAATAACAGAGTATTGAGTACATGCTTTTCAAAATATAAGGATGTTGAAAGTATAAGAATAAAAACATGGAAAACTGCTATAACACAAATACTAGTTAGTACAACGTACTTTCACTTTATTAATACTAGGCAAAACAAACTTTAAAACAAGTAAAAAAGAGACAGAAAATTAATTTATGGTAATAAATCTACAATTATAAAAATTTAAATTAGTAGGTCCTTATAGCACAGACTAGAAATAGATAAAGCAAAATGGAGACAGAATTGCAAGAAGAAAATTCAAAACAGCTAATATCCCTTTGGAGCATGTTCGCACAGTCTTTTAAGTTAATCCAACTAGAAGAAAACAGCAATAAATAACCAAGTGAGCACCTGTGAAGATGACATGGACAACTCAATTATCAGACTTGAGGCAATGCATTCAAATCACAGTCTCAAACTACATGCTATTGCTTTTTTGCAAGCACATGTGGAACAAAAATCTATCATGTATCAGTCCATATAGAAAGTGTCAGCAAATTTGGAAGATTGAAAACATGTGATCTTTTCTCTGATCACAATTCAGTTAAATAAAAAATCAAAAGTAGAGGTAATCAAACATAACCTGTGTTTGAAAATGAAGCATTTTGGTATCAGGTATTCCTACTGTGTGATTCACATGTGCCCAGAATTAAAATGTCCACCATACTCCAAACCACCTGACCTTTTCTTCCCTCTCTTCATGACTGATACCATTATCCGCCTTGTTGCCTGAGGCCTATTTTATTATCCTGCGGAGCTTGTCTTTGTTCAGACTTTCACCAATAATATCTTTTTCTCTTTAACTTGTCTCTTCCCTCTGTGGTTTATGTTCCTCTTATCTTGTAAAACATTTTCATGATGTGGAAAATTTTAAAGTTCTCTTTAAGTTTACATATGAATATTACAACCTGCAGCCTAGTGAGATCAGACCAACAATTTTCCAGTGCTGTAGAGGACCTAAAATAACAATTTTTCTTATTATTTCATGTTAGTTACTCAAGAATGTTTATATTTCCCCAGTACCAACAAGATAAAACCCAAATTCAATAACATGATACTCAAGGATCTTTGAAAAAACTTTTACCTTTTGATCTTTTATTTCTTTCCAAGCCCTCATGATCTTTTGTGTACATCCTTTCTAGCTCCTTGTATCTTTGCATGTCTACCTGAAATACTCTCTCTTGTGGTGTACGCCCTGATCATTTCCTTTGTATCCTAGTAGACACAGATGGAGAATCATCTTTCTTGAAATATCTTTCCTTAACAGTCTTCATAGTCTCATTCACTTCTTCATTCATTGCTACCTAGATTATTTTTCATATTTCACTTTTATAAATTAACATTTTAAAATGGCTTCCTTCTGTGTTACACCAAGAATTACATGAAAACAATTTTTTTTCTTAAACAGTTTTTAAAATTCTTACCACTTTTAGAGAAAGGGCTTCAAGACAGAAATTGGCTGAAGGGATAATGTTAGAGTTAGTGGGGTAATTTAAAAATATTTGTTGAAAAAACAAGAAGGATTTGCTGATCCTTTTTGATATGAGATTGATATGAGGAAGTTGACCAATGTTATTAAAACACTAGCAAGGATATCACAATAGCACTTACCGGCTGTAGTCCTAAAGCTTTCTAGCATCTTAAAGTAAAGCTCTCTTCACAAAAAGGCCACGCACATCTCCTTAAGAATGGAATTGTATTTTGAAGTGCAGCCCTGAGTGTTTGAACAGTTCTCCTCAATAGAATGAATGAATCACATCGATAGAGCCCAGGAAATAGTTTTAACATATTATGACCATTGAGAGCCTTAAGAAAATGATTGTATTTTGTGTATTTTAAATAATGAGAGAAGCATATTTTGTACATTTTAAATGGTATTGGTATTTCTAATGGTATTGGAAATCTCATCAAAACCAAAGAAGGTTAGGTACTTAATATAGGAAGTTTTAATTACTTAAAAAAATAACATTCATGCCAGGTAAATGAGACATTGCAGTGGGTTGAAACCCACCTCCACCTATATAGTATAATTTGCAAAATTTGCTTAAGGTTTAACCATGAATTATTATGACTTGCAACCAAATAAGATCAGACCAAATAATTTAGAAAATAGGTTTATATAATTGTGTTTTCCGCTTTATTAAATAATGAGTACCCAGAAGCAAACAGACCGAGATTCACAAGGGAATAATCAGAATTCACTAACTTGAACCAAATTATCATATACTTTGAACCCACAGATTTATTCCTCATTTCTCATCCAGAGTATCATTAGTGGCTGACCATACAAGTAGTCAAGACAAATTTCTCTGAGAAGCAGCTAGAAAAAAGAATCACTTTGCTTATCTTTCCTGCAAATGCTTTTGTAAAGCAGTGAGGTTCACTCACTGCTCAGACTCAGAAAAATCACATTCCCAGGCCCAAGATGAAATTCCTGGGCCTAAAAATGTTCTTCACTCACCTCTTTTACTCCCTCATTGCGGCATGTGTTCTTACAATAACTTCGCATAATAGCAGTTCCTTATTGGAAACCTCATCTTTCATCTATTTTGTATCGGTCTTTTCTACAGATCCCCCTGCTGTGGAGCCAGCATTCCTGGAAATCAGGCAAGGACAGGACCGAAGTGTCACTATGAGCTGCAGGGTACTGAGAGCCTATCCAATACGCGTGCTGACCTATGAGTGGCGCTTGGGCAATAAATTATTACGGACTGGTCAGTTTGACTCGCAGGAGTACACGGAGTACCCAGTGAAGAGTCTTTCCAATGAAAACTATGGGATTTACAACTGCAGCATCATAAATGAAGCTGGAGCCGGGAGATGCAGCTTTCTTGTGACAGGTAGGATTCACAATATGTTGCTTTTTAGACATTTTATAATTTTAGACCAAAGGATCTTAGGTCTATACCTATACCAATGTAAGTATGCAAACATTTTGTAAATCCACAGAACATAACTGGAGAGTCTTGATGGCTCTGGTTAGAGATTCTATTAGTTTATTTTCAAGGCCAGTCTATCTTAATAGTCAAAAAAGTTCCTATGCCTGGGCTTGGACTGCTTTCTTCTCACCCCTCCCAAGCGGGAGTCTTTGCTTTCCTTTTCTAATAAAACCTCTGACAGTTTGCAAAAAAAAAAAAAAAGGAAAAAAAAGTTCCTATGCCTATAAAATTTTACACCGAAGTTTATTTGAATTCAAATGTAGTGAGTGAAGAGGTTGATTATTTTGAGTATTTCAGTAACAACCTAACAAATTGTAACTACACTATTTAGATCAGATTGCATATGTGATCTGACACTTGCTGGTGTTCTTAATAGCAGGAGTGTTTTGCTTTGTTTGGTTTTGGTGTTAATTTATTTATTACCTATCAATATGCAGTGACTTTCCATTTTGTCCTTGGCATGCCACAAATTCATATATGTTCCAAGGACATCAATAAAGTTGTATCTGGCATATAACAAATTAAAAAGAAGTCATTGATGTCATTGTTTTTTCAAAAAGTTCATGCTGCATTGACTTACATACTTACATAAATTATTTTGATAATCTTTATACTAATACAAATTTGTTATTTTCAAGCCCTAGCATAGGCATATATTAATGGGAAATACTCCTTTTCATTGCTATTTTGTCCTGGGTAAAGTTTCAGAAAAAACTGAAGATTGTTTATTATGTGATAAATAATTGTAAATAATTATTAAAACATTCCAGACTGTAAACTTGCTCATTGATGATATGACTTCTTAGTATGAAGTTCTTACTTGCGAGAGAACTCTATATATGCATTTGCTTTGTGCCATTTTTTTGCTTCTTGACTTGTAATACTAGGTAGATAAAATATAATTGACTAACCAAAGTACATGAAGAAGTCCTCTTCTGCTCCATCTCGCCACCTCTTGATTTTCTAATACTTTTGATTTAGGATCATTTTAAAATGTAAGGCTTTTCTTTCTTTTTTTTTTTTTTTTCAGTTTCTGGGTTCTTCAGTCTGCTCCGTTTACTTCTGTGTGTTTCCTTCTTCGGATTGCTCTCAGTTTTTTTTTTTTTCTTTTATTATTCATATGTGCATACAAGGCTTGGTTCATTTCTCCTCCCTGCCCCCACCCCCTCCCTTACCACCCACTCCGCCCCCTCCCTCTCCCCCCCAATACCCAGCAAAAACTATTTTGCCCTTATTTCTAATTTTGTTGTAGAGAGAGTATAAGCAATAATAGGAAGGAACAAGGGTTTTTGCTGGTTGAGATAAGGATAGCTATACAGGGCATTGACTCACCTTGATTTCCTGTGTGTGTGTTACCTTCTAGGTTAATTCTTTTTTTGATCTAACCTTTTCTCTAGTACCTGTGGCTTTTCTATTTTGATTTCTAATGTAAACTGTTCACACAAAGCCAGAAGTTCCTTAGACAATACTATTTGCATGATGATCTAACTGCTCTTTTAATTAATTATGTTTCAAGGGAAAGAAAATGAAATCTGTGAATTCAGGGAATAATTTAAATGGTTTGATTTGCTTCTAATACTTCTTTATGCAAATTCTGTAACAACAAGAATCCTTCAACGGCAACAGTTTTTCATATGTTAGTACAAGTGGAGAACCTGACTTTCACTCATTAATCTTCCAAAACAAAAATATTCAATAAAATTAACTATATCCCGTCTTTCAATATTTTGGCCATATACTTCCTAATTTCCTATGAAGACACTGTTTTCTAACTTTTGGTTAGGAGGCTTACGTCTGTGCTATTTCTGCAATATTTTTCACTTCCTCACTATTAGGTGAGTCAAATTCTACATATGAGCTAGGAGACAATCTGAGACCAGAAGAAACACTAAGTTCCATTTTCCTATTCCAAATCCATGGGGTACAGCAGGCAGATTTTGATAACTGGAAAGGAATAAGTCTGTCACAGGTTTTGTCATAGAAGGAGAAGAAATAGCCCCAAGAATTAATTTTTTTCCAATGTGTGCTTTTCAATGTTCAAGTCAATTTTACGTTTCAAGATCTCCATGTACAATGAAATACAGTTTTAAAAAACAGAAAAGGAATCTTTTGGGTCCCAAATTTAGTAAAATCCAGGGAAATATATATATATATATATATATATATATATATATATATATATATATAGGAATAGATGTTTACATACAATCTGGTATCTGCAAGGAACTTTGAAAGACAATTTAGTTCCTCTACTAAAACCTAACAGAATTAAGATCCCTTGTGAATTTCCCTCAACTCAAAACTATTTTAAATTGACATAAGAGAGCCAGGGAACAGAACATATACAAAGATGCACTTATTCTTCATCCACAAAAACAGATCTTTGAAAATAATTCTTTTTACTTTATGAGACCTAAATTAATGAAGCAAATTTAAATTTTAATTTTACAATTATTTTACCAAATTCAAGATTACTTCTCCACTTACCATGAAGTTTTTACAGTCATCCAAAAGTAGAATTTATCTCACTGCACACCAGAATGTACAAAAATGAACTAAAAAGACAGTGGCCTTTATGATTTTAGCTTCTAGAAATGCTCAAAATCTCATTCCTATTTTTCAATTTTTAATCATGTATGGGTGATGTGTGTGAGTGTTTGGGGGTAAGTGCACAGAAGGTCATTTACTGAGACATCAGAGGGTGTGAAAATATTTTTCTGTTAGGCAAATAAAGAAAGTAAGTGAAGATATTTGGGGAATATCAAACACAAGATAGTAAGCAGCACAGATTTTAGTTCACTGTCCATGTTAGATATTAACTTCAGTGTTACAAAATATTATGTATTTACCTACATTTTATTTACTAATATTTTTATGCTAAAGTTACAACCATTTTTTATGGTTTCAGTAAGCTTTGTGAGCTACAGTAGGAATCCAGATGCCATTTGTCATATTTTCCTCAGGGAATTTTTTACAAGGTCTAAGGACTAATGTACCATATCAATTTATTAGAATTAACCCACTTGTAAACATGAAATCCTAAGTAGTTATCTACATGTATTGATATATCAATACATAGATTTAAATATTTGTATTCTGATAGTTCTGTAGCATTGTAGTAGAGAATTCAACTGGAGCATGAATTTCACTGTATGACATGTTGAAAATGATCCAATATTCACCTTTTAAAAAAGAACACCTAAATACTTTAAATCAAAGTCTGTTCTTTCATGACATTACTGAATACAGTATTACACTCTAGAACATAGCTTGATCCAGAAAAGAAACTCAATAAATATAGAATGATGAAATAGATGGGGAACTTGACAAAAGAATTACTGATCGAATGAAAGAAAACTTATTAAAAAGTAATTTTTAATAAGAAAATAGATGAATATAGAGAAGAAAAAAGAGTGTCTCAAGTTGTAAACAAACAGTGTATTTTTGTAGTTGTCTAAGTCCTAACTTGACTTGAAAAGATGTATCTATTTCTTAATCCCTGCAACCTATGAATATTACATTATATGGCAAAAAAAAAAAAGTGACTAAATTAAGGATTTCGTGAGAAAGAGCTTATTCTGGGTCATCTAGGTAGGCCCTAAATGCAATTATTCTTCATTTTCTTTTCTTTTATGGCAGCACTGGGCCTCATGCTTGCCAGGCAGGCTCTCTACCACTTGAGTCACTCCACCAGCCTAAATTCAATAATTCTTATCTTCATAAGAGAGAGGCAGAAAAGTTTTGAGGTAGAAGAAGAGGAGATAGTGAGTGTGGAATGATGCAACTACAGGGCAAAGCACCTCAGCCACCATCAGATGCTAAAAGAATATATGCCCTTCTGAGCCTCCATAGGAAGGAGGACACTGCCAAGACTTTGGATTCAGATTTCTGGTCTCCAGAGCTGTGAGAGAATAAGTTTTCTTAAGCCACCCAGTTTGTGCTAATTTTTTATGGCAGTCATAAATAGCTAAATTGTAAAAGTCACTATTGCAAAGAACTAACTTCTCTCTTTAAAATGTTGAAAGCTCTGTACAGAGCTACTTTAATCCTCATCTTTGTCATTCAAAAGAAGCTAGACATCAGCAAGTTAGACCCCCATGCCACGAGTTCACAACAACTCCTCAGCTTCTCACACCTCAGCAAGGCTTTTTAAATTTGTCTCCTGACAAATTTGAAAATGAAAAACCAGGCTATAAGATGCAGCATTGATTTAGAAAGTTTAAATTTATCTAAGTCTTTTAAATTGCTCTAATTGATATTCATGAATATATATAGCAAGATGTTAGTTCTAAATTATTGTAAATATGTTCCCACTAGTCACTTTCTCTATAATTCTTTTCTTTAAGATTATTTCTGATAATGTTTTTTGTTTAAATATGTATGTATGTGAGGGGATTAAGATTTATGAACAAGTTGGATGAAAAAATGAATATGACAAGATTTTTTTTTTTGCTTAGGTTTTGGACTAGTTGTTTAAATAAAATGTAGAAATAGTCACTTGACAATATAAGCATAGGTACTTACTCTAGACTTTAAGTGAAAAAACAACAAAATAAAATGACCACTATTGTTTCATGGATAGCCTATGAAATAAAAGTAGGATGCCCTTCTAACTTCTTGAGATAATATACATACTTTTACATATCCTTAGACTTGTAAAACATTTTAGACTTTGATGAATGGAAATGATTATATATTCTTTTAAATAAAAACTATTGAAAGAGTGAGATCCTTTTCAAAAAGTGACAGTGGATATATAAGTTTATTGCATCAACCACAAATTATAATCTAGTATAAAACAACACCATGCATTATCTCTCAACTGATGGAATTATTATAACCAGGAAAATATTTGGCAATTGTGTATGGGTACCTACTAAATGTGAGGTGCTATGATAGAT